AGAAACGTGGCGTGACACTAGTCATGTGACTTCGCTGACGCAACAATATATATTTTCCTTAGCCACATTCTGTTTCCTACCAGAGTATGCACGATGACGACCAAATTGCAGATTTACAACAGAATCAAAAGCAAAAATAGCCATATATTTGGGCTCGAATAGGTTAAATTAGCTAATGTCTGTTTACTATAAATTAAAATAAAGCTATATCTTGATTTTTTTAGCTACTCTCTCAGTTTTACGCTGTAACATTGCATACTAAGACTGATATTATTGCATCAATATTGTTACATCTCCGTTTGTTAATTAACTTTCCCGTAACTTCGTTCCAACGAAACTTTAACGACACAAGTCTTTACTTAATAAAACTGGTTTATTCTTTCCAAATATAACTCTGCGATACACTTAATCTCAATACTCGCGCTAAAACAACACTGTAACGAACGAACGTTAATTTCAACAATACCGTGTGACTGCAGTTCAGTTACTCACTATCTCTACACATTACCTCCCCGCGTCACGTTTTCCCCTCTTATATATACCAGCCTACCCTACTAGTAATTACTAGAGCATTCCTGAAAGAACAAGATAGTTCTAGAAACTAGAGGGCGCCACAGTGGTCATGTGACTCGCTGACGCAACAATATGATAACACTTGTACACGTCATCTGTTGTTGGTCTCGAGACTACTCTTTAGAAGGTCTCGGTCTCGATGTTTTACAGGTTTCGAAAATGACGCCGGCTAAATTTAAAAGTTTTAACAGTATTAGACCAGTCATCTACTCAGGATTATTAAGCGCTAAATATCGATTACGCAGCAGTTCGTACGAGCATGGTGTAGCATCAAAGATGATTTACTAGTAAAACCCCCTTGGTAATTGGTACTATACCTTTGTAATGATGTTTGTAGCGCCTCCCTTATTTTTGTTGACGTCACCAACCGCCATATTGCCTGTACGCCAATTCGCCGTTATAATACCCGCTATTCAAAACTAATTGCTACTATATATTGTATTACGCGTAGGTTTACTACAGGTTTTGATAAAAGTTTAGATGAACTACCTTTATACTCCAGATGTATACATATTTGTTTTATTATTACTACTAACGTTTCGCTTTTACAGCTTCTTCAGGGTTAATACATATGAACTGTTTGATATTGAAGTATACGTTAATTTATAAAATTAAAACCATTACTACATGTTTGTATGAACTTCAACTGGTGTACGCGTTTACGTCAAACGTTAGCGATTATCCCTGATATTCAACATGTCTAGTAGATCTGCTGTGATCCTGTTTGGCTTCAAAGATCATAAAGAATTTACTGACACCAATACTGGTTTTAGTTTTGTTTGCTGACCTTTCTGATTATTTTTCATTCATTCATTATTTTATTATATTTTTTCATAGGAGGAGACGATAAAACAAAGACTGTGGGGTAAAGGTATAAAAGATTTGCGGTTAAGATGTTAATAAAGTTTGCTTGATGCATGTGATTTTTATTCTTCTTGCTTTATTTTTATTGTGTAAATTATTACAAGGTCTTGGTCTCGACGGTCGACCCCTAAGGTCTCTGTATTGGATATTGAGGTCTCGACTAAAACACTGGTACACCTACATGCATTTACATAAAATAAAACCATTATCTCTCTAGCTATGGATAATTCTCCGAGTCAGAAATAGTTCAGAGTGAAGCTGAAGAAAATATGGAGAAAGTTTGAATGAAAAAGTTGACATCATCTCTCCCCGAGCACATGAGTTAGCCACTTCACATCTGGACATCCAATAAACAAATATTTGAAGGGAAGATCCTCCAGTTATTTTTAAATATCTAAACAACCGAGTTTATTAGATGTATGGATTACCTATCCTATTTCCTTGAAATATCATGCTATTAAATACACGCGCCATCTGTTGATGAATACCAGTAATTTTGTACAATTATTATCGCTGAAGAGTAGGACAATGTTTCAGAACTAGACGTATAAACTATAATTTATTAGTAAACTGTTTTCACTTTTAAGTATTAACATATGTTTCTTCGTTAACTTATAACAAATATGAGGGTAAAGTACACAAAAGAGAAAAGATTGTTTTGAAGTGCAGCCTTTCCGAGGATGGGGTCGAGGTGGACCAGACAGAATAGTGGAGGGGTTTTGCCTTCAAAACATGCACACCACAAGTGTGTTGGATTTTTTTATTACTATTATTTCTATTAATGTGCAATAAATAATTAGATTTGAGAATAGAATAAAAATTATTGTCAGAAGTGGGATTCGAACCCACGCCCGGAAGACCGGACTGCGACCTGAACGCAGCGCCTTGGACCGCTCGGCCATCCTGACATACGAGTTGAAGTTACAATCATATTATATATAATAATTGTAATTTTAAAGGTAATATACCAACTAGTGCTGTTGGCGAATTTCGTATACTTAACAATGTTGTTCATTCCCTTTTGTTTTGGTGTGCACGCTGCCTTTGAAGTTTGACTCTGCAAGACTTAGTAGTTTACCATTATACTATTTTATCGAATTTGTAACGTTTATTACTGTAATCTAAAGTTTGAAATATGCTAATAATGATTGTAATCGCCACACCATATAATTCGACGTTAGACTTTAGCTCCCTTGATACAGTTTACAATATTTTTATGCCTGTTGTCATGGTTATTGGTAAAGGAAACTGTTCATTTACACTTTTTTGTGTTTTTTGGCACTAACTGTGAGTTAATAGTTCTGTGTACCTGAAAAATGAAAATAAGATACAAACTCCGGGCCTGGGTCGCAAAGAAATATATAATTCACATAGCCTCTTAAAATTAATGCAACAATTACCCTTTTATTTGTATCGAAATTAACATAATATTCCGCATATGCTATTCTTATGAAGATGTCGTCATATTTTAGGTAGTTTCTTTTACCAGGCAGTAAAAGTTGTATATGTGAGATGCATAAACATAATCAATATTAATGACAATTATATCATCATAATTAGCATGATAGCTAATTATTAAAATACGTTTATTAATTATTTGTTCAAAAAAACAGGTGATTGAGTAGGCATTCCTTTGTGAAGGTTTATGATGGCTTAGGGAAGACTTTTTACTGAAAGATTTGTAAGAAGCCAAATTCAAGTGTTTATTAATGTGTTCAAATAAAATGTACTTTATCCCGTCTTTAATGCTATTTTAAGATGGCCGAAACTCATGGGATATTATTGAGATTACGGCCAAAAATATCGATAACAGCGAGAGTACCCAACTAATGAAGCAATTCAATATAACCTTAAAAAATAACAACAGTATATTTAATTATCTGTACTCATAACAACGTTCATTTTTATGTATAATATACTTAACTAGCTTTCCATGATCAGAAGTTAATATTAATAGGTGTGTAAGAAAGAGGGTAACTGGCGCAATTAATTTATTATAGAATAAAAGTCTTGCCATCAGTACAGACAGTACTTAACTATAACAATATTTGGTAATATTAAAATTTGTATTATAATTTGTAAAGATCCTTCAAGAACTTTACTTTTTCAACAACTTATAACTGCCTTTTGTTTATCTTCAAAGAATACTTTTGCATTATTTTACGTATCTTCTCTTTAATACATTATTTTTCAAATCAACAACGACAATACATAATATTACTTCCTTACCATGTGTTATATTACCCTTATGAGATTTTGGATGAACCCAACAGTTGCCCAGTCATGAAGTACAGAGTTATGACGTTGAAGAAAACTAGTCCAATTATATTTTACGTTTACGTAATCGAACCACGCCTTCTTTTATTCTCATTGGTGTCTTTTGGGCGCGTTGTTGTTGGATTACAGACAAGGAAATAGTGATTCTGTGTGTCGGGTTATTTTTTTGCGCTATTATACAGTATGCCCATCCGCCCAAGTTAGCCCCACCTTCTTTTGAAATTTTACGCATGAAAGTTATTATGATCATTGGTAGTTTCTCCAATCAAATTCTGTATTTGAGACATCTACGAAAGTTTGCAGCCATAATCACCCGGTCGTGTTCCCACGCGTGTATTCTCATCAAGCCTCAAAGTGTGAGGTGGCGCCCAACTACACGAGCTAGTTCACTGGTGGGTAAGTTGTTCTTATAGCCAAATGATCACAATAATCAAAAATTAAAAGAGTAAATTAAAATCTTTGGTTGGGTTCATTATCGAAACTTTTGATCATCGTACAGAAAAATTAAACAACTATATCAAACAATATTTGCTATTAAAGCAGATGTTATATAATTATTATAAAGAATCTGACTGGTTATCTCTAATATGCTTAAAAAACGGAACCTTTTCTACTACTCGTTCAGGAAGGATTAGCAGAAAACATTGAGTACAAAACGTCTATTTCAAGTTAAATGTTATTGAATTTTCCTTGAAATAGGCTTTGAATGTCGTAACACGTCTATCAAACCAAGATATTTAATAACTGATGATTATAAATATTATTGTTATTATTTAGCCGAATTATTCTTCTCGGCGTATGGACTTATAATTTATATTTAATGATTATTTATAATGTTTGAATATATATATATATATATATATCATTTTAAACTTAATCAAAATACAGTCGATTCTGTATTTATATGTGTAAATTAAAATATCAGAAACCCGGTGTATCTTTATAGACACACATACAAACCCTGCGTACTTGTGACGCTTCTCAGCATCACGAATTTATGTATAGGAAGTATGGCTACAGTTGAGCATATAATGTTTCTAAAGAAGGCACAGATCAAAGAGAAAACTGGGTATTGGATACTCGATATGTAAATGTACTGGAGTAAACACACGAATATTTTTCTCAAAATAAACTTAGGAATTATCTTTTTTATGTGTATGTAAGGATATATATTAGGTTTAGAAAATATGTATTTAATCTGTTTTCTCGTATGTATGTATATATATATGCTGGATTGATTTTCAAGTAAAGTCCTTTCACTAAATATATTAAAATATTTGAATATGGCTCCAAAGAATAACCAAGTTAACACATTCGTAATTGTATTTCCGTATGTTGTAACTTATGCGATGAATCTGAATGCATAACACTTCAAACTATGTCTGGAAATATATTGTATATCACTTCTGCAGGATGTGAGGACCTATTTATAGCATTTGTGTCCTCCCTTCGACTTGGTAACTCATATACAGACACATCAATAAACATTTTACACAAGTGTATTTCGTATAGTTTATAATAATCTGACTTGATAGTTTTACAGTTAGTATAACACGCTAACCAGCTTTATATCTAAAATATAAATCAATCAGTTGTTCTTCGTACTTAAGAAACGGTGCTTTCATGTTTATCGCAAGCTAGACTCTCTAAATATATTCTCGTAAAGTCAGAGTGTGATTGTAGCAATATCAAGAGTAGCGGAAACTCTCGGCACATTGGCAGACTTATTTTTCCCGAGCCACCCTTATTTAGCTAGTTGCGTTTTATCTTGAAATGTTGCATACTACTGAACAAATCTTCGATCAGCCAGAATAGTTCCACCCAATTTGGCAGCATGCCAAATACTGGCAAGCGCTGTCAATAGTGATTTTTTTTTTATCATACTAGCTGTATATAATGTGCGTGCATAATCCTGATCTTGTCGATCTTAACCTTAGCGTACTTAACATACGTTCAGATATTGTACTTCAAAGACTGATATGGCGTTTCTCCCGTTGTTCTTTGAAAAATACTTTAAACATCCCGCAATATCTCTTAAACTGTGAGGATGAAAGAGTCAATTTAATTAAAATACAGTAAAACAGTGTCGTTGGTTGTTGTTCCTTTTTCAGCTTTTTTCATAATATCCAACAATTCCAAAGTTGTTTAATAGTGTTGTTACGTCTCTGTTCGTTTGTTAACTTCCCGCAGAAATTCTTCCCGAGAAACTTCAGCGATACAAGTCCTTTCTGAAATAGAACTAGTTTATTTTTTCTCAATACAACTTTGCAATACACTTAATTTCCACACTTAAACACACGCTACAATTCTCAACGAACGATTCACGCACTTTACTAACTACCGCGCTTGACTCAATTGTCCGTCTATATCTCCAATCTCTCTCTCTGCTATTCTATCTCGATTTATTGTCTGGCGCACTTATATACAAGAATAGAGGATGCCTAGCAAATACTGGATAATTTGTGATGTTTCCCGATCTTTCTAGAACTCATTACGTATTACCAGCGTCACGTGGCTTCCGCTATCATAACACTGCCCCTTCCTTAATATTGTTCGTCCCGAACAATAGCCACTTACATTAAACCAATAGACAATTAACAATAACTTAATTAAATGGACAGAATTTACAGACACAAAATTAAAATTCAACAAAGTCTCTTAATTTCACGGGACTTATCTTCTTCCATACTGGTTTCCGTCTCGTTGGCTTCTGCTTCACGTGGGGTTCATCTGCTCCATCAGGAAATATCCTATTATCGGTAATGGTCACATCAGTGGTAGTAACTTCATGAAGGGCTTCACTGTTTCCCTTTT